GGGGGGGCAGCCCTGGAGGAGGCTGTCCCGGGATCGGTTGTTGTCCCGGCGGAGGCTGCTGACCTGGTATCGGTGGCTGTCCCGGCGGAAGCTGCTGTGGTACCGGTACTGGTGGTCCCTGAGGGAGGGGAGGCGGTAGAGGTTCCAGCGCCTGGGCTGCCATCGGGTTCGCGAGGCGATGATCCATCATTGTCGGCAAGGCATCAAACACATCAGCTACGGTTCGCATGACCTGCTGCAGCGACCGTTCGATTTCTTCCAGGCGGTCCTCACTTGGACCCCTGTAAGGTTCGCTGAGCCCGGGGCCCGATCCTCTCCCGGGATCTTCCGCCCAGTAATCATCGACCTCCCCTCGGTAACGTCCGCGTCTCTGCTCCCGCTCACTCAGGCTGTCCCGGAGGCTGCTCCCTCGGTAGGAATAAGTCTCCCGCGTGCCTTGGGTATCAAACATAGTCCAGTCTTCGTTGGCCTGCACCTGGTTCCTGCCCCAGTGACTTGGGGTCGGAGGCGGCCATGGCAAATAGCTCGGGCGAGGTACCGTCCCCCCGTTGCTCCCGTCGTAGGGACCCAGCCGGCCGCCGTGGTGATCAGTGGGCCCGCAGAGGTGACCGGGACTCCGAATAAGTCCCCCTCCGTTGCGGGTACTGTCGTAGGCACTGTCGTAGGTACTGTTGTCGGTACCGTGGTAGGTACGTTCCCCTCTGTCCCGCTCATGATTGCAATCAGACTCGGGACGATGAGGAAGAAGGATTCCTAACAAAATGTTGAATCTCCAAAGTCTCCAAAACAAATCCACATTTAAAGGTTAAAGCAAAATTTATTTCAAAGCGTTTGAAAGAAGCAGGAACAATAGAATTGTTAGGAATGGACACAAACCCCAAAGGGGACCATGATAAAGGGATTTGAACCAAACTGTAACCAGTAGATCTCTTTCCCGCCGGCGCGAATAAGGTAGGCACTGGCAGGCAATTGCCTGAGAACATAACAGTTTGCCTTTCTCAAAACAGGCCCTTGGTTCATAGACAATAGACACTACTAACGAGGCAGCAGATAACAGAGTTACTCCTTTACGCACCAGCTGGGTAACCTTGAGCTGTTCCAGGCATCTAAGAAGCGGGAGGGTGCAGAATACAGAAGCGAAAGGGACAGGGGGGGAAGGGAACATACTCCAAGCAATATAGCACTCAATGGCAGCTTGCTGACAAGCGCCAGAAATTATACAGTTTAGCCAATAACACCTGCTCCCCTTTGAGTCTCGAGATCCCTCTTACTACAGGGAAGATGGCTTCATATTTATCTTCCCTGCAGGTCCCACAACAGTGCAGAGTGTTTACTCTGGCCTTTTTATATGGCAGATTTAACAAGATATCTCACTCAGCCAGATACTGCCCCTGCAAACAAAAATGTGCTGAATCAATAACTCACTCATGTCCTTCTGCATTGTCACCTGTATGTGGATCTAAGGCATATATATTTACATTCGACTTTAAGCAGCATGGTGGATTGCCCTGATGCACTTAAGGTGCACAGACTTCTAAATGATTTCTGTTCTAACATCACTGAGAAGGTGGCCAAGTTTCTCCACTCTGCTTTAAAGCTGTGCCAGAGACATAGTCTTTTCATAGGTGTGTTTTAACCCACTCTTAAATTGTACAGTCTAGAGACATAGTATTTTAATATGTATGTTTTCAATCTGCTTTTAAATTGTATAATCTGTATTGACAATTTATGCCAATAAAGGCTAACTTGAACTTGAGAGGCAGTATAGGTCCTTGTGAAACTCCATGGGATAATTCCCACTGAGAGGAGCAGCAATCACCCAGTACCATTTTATAGCACCTCCTAGTAAAGAAGGTGTGGAAGCACTGCAAGATATTGCTTCCTAAGCCCATTCTACAAAGATGATCCAACAGGAAGTTAAAGTTTATAATACTGCAGATGTCTGAGAACCAGGAGAATCTCTCTCTCTCTCCTGAACTTCCACTACAAACTACATTGTAATAGGTCTTCTTCATCAAAGAGTACCTGGAACTATCCAGCCAGTGCCTATTCTACTATATCAGCTGAAAAGGGATAATTGGTCATGTGCTTGTACAATTCCCTGCTCAGCTGTGAAGAGACTCCGTAGGCAGACACAAGGCAACCTCCCTGAAGGATAAACAAAGTATTCATGTGTCTCCTGTAAACAACAACAAAAATAGTTCTGGATTTTTTAAAAAAAGTGGAAAAAGAGAAATGTGACATATACTGTCTTCTTTAACTTTAGCTTATATCACTGTTTCATGTTCTTATGCCTAAATAACCCATAGTAGGAATACTAATGTCTGCAGAGATTGATGTGGCAGCCTGCAGAAGGTGCCTAGGCTAGACATAACCTTGTTAATTTTTCAAAAGTGCCTTGGATTCATAACAACGTGATGATTTATTAATGCTTAAATGTCTTCCCTACAGCTAACTGCCACTTTGCGGAATTTAGTTGACTTGCCTCAATCAAGGTGTAAACTCCTGAGCAGTGGAGCAATTCCAGAGCTTTGTCTGATGATGGAGGAACGTATGAATGACAAGGATATATGTACCAATGTGGCCAGAATATTCAGGTACCTATTTTAACCCATTAAGCATACTTTTAAGAAGTTGCTACTTTATTGCAGTTACAGAATTTGGATTTTATTCCTTTTGAAATACTACATGCCATCATCTCGTGTTCCTATGTAGTTTCTTTTGCTGAAATATTGTTTTGGATTTTGTCTTGGTAGGGGCAAGAAAATGCATTTAAGCTGCAAGGACAGCAAGCAATGCAGGAATAGCACCCACACCACCCCTGTTCCTTCACCACTTGCTGCTGTCACTACAGCCTAGCTCCTTGCTCCTCTCGTTTCTGGTATTACCAGAACCCCCCCTCCATAGCCCAGACCCTCCCCTTCCCTCCCAAACTGTGTTCCCTATGCTATTTTGAAAGCAGCTCCTTCTAGCAGTGGCAATGGAGGGAAGTACTGTGAGCTAGAGAAAGACAGGCTAATCAAAGGGCGTAGATTTTCCAATTTCGGGGGGGGGGGCCTGGGCCAGAGGCATTGCTATGCTAGGTCCTTAAAAGAACTGAGGCCCAGTGACATCATAGGGAAGAGCCAATGACATCACAGGCCATTGTCACTGTCTATGGAGGCAGAGCCATGTGAGATTTAGGAAGGGGCTCCCCAGAAATTTAGGGGGGCCTGGGGTAAACCCAGGAAAAGTTGGGAGTTGGCCAGTGGTTATAATGGTATCTCAGCGGTCTCCTGCTGTGTCCTTTATTTAACTTCACTTTTAGAATACTCATTTTAAGATCTGCAAATACACATACCATGTGCATAAGACAAACAAATGCTCACAAATTTGAAAGTAAGGAGGGCAGCACAGAAAAGCATGTAGGGGAACATTTTAAAAGTATTCCTGGACATTCATTTACAGGAGTCTTGTGTCTGCCTTATTCATAAGGGTGACTTTGTACTGAAATTTACTAAATTATGGCATCACAGATGCTTCTGTTTGGTAAATGCAGGGCTGGAGTCTCTGAGCCAGAATACCAAATAGTTGCCGTGCACTCAATTTATGAGCCATGTACAGAGTTTAGAGTAGCAGCAATCTTCTTCTCACTTCAAACTCATATCCTACAAATGAGTACAAGTCCCAGAGCACTGAGCCTATTCCCAGGGATCATCATTCCCTATTCCTCCTGTCATTCCACTCTGTGACCTGTCATTCCAGTCCCACAGCACAGGTTCTATTGCTAGGGATCATCATTCCACTCTGAGGACTGTCATTCCAGAACCAGAGCACAGATTCTCTTCCTAGGGACTGTCTTTCCAATCTGGGGGCTGTCATTCCAGTTTCAGAGTAGCCTGTCTGGGCCCAAAGACCTTAATGGAAAACCATTCCACATTTTCTTTGCAACTTTTTTTGTGCTGCAATGTATTTCAGTGGAGCCCATGCAAGTCAATTGGCATTTCTGGCTCCCATTATCTCCAATGGGCCTTCAAGCCTCTCCCATTATTTCCAATGGGCAATCCTGTCATTCCTTTTATACATCCCAGTTAGCTGTCCCTTTGTACCACACCATTTTAAGTAACAGCAAAAAGAAGAGCATGAACATGTACAGAGTGCACATTTCTTGCCAATGTTCTTTCTGAGCTGCACACAGAGCAAAAGGAAACTTTAAAAGGCCTCTGATCTGCATGCCCTCCCCCCAGTCTTGTTCATGCAGATGGGCTTACCATTTAAAAATGAAATTGAAATTGAAAGAAGAGCTTAGGAGTGGTTGAAGCATCTCCCCCACTACCATGAAAAAAACCAGTTCTCAGTCAAGGATATATAGACCCAAGTAAAATAAAATAGAGACACATTTCCCCCCAAAATGTAAATTGGAGTCCAGCAAGTATGTTGGGCCTAACAGAGACTTTGCAGTCTGACTGTTGCTACATTGAAAGTGGGTGGAGACAGCCAGGGTTAAGGACTATACTTTCTTTTCTGACAGACACCAAACATATTCAAGGACTGATATGTTCTGGATATCAAAAACCTTCATTATTACTCTAGAGTGTGCAAAGATACAACCAAAAACCTGATGGATCCAGCTGCAAGAGACCTTCTCTTCCTGTTGCAAGGAATGTTATCAAATCTCTTTCCCCACTCAACTTTTCCTGTCTCCAGAGATCTGTCTTCCTAAAGACTCTCTAGCACAGAGGTGTCGAACTCAGAGGGGCCGGATACGACATTTGTCACGTTCTCGGGCCGGTGTCAGGACCCACAGCAAAACAACAAAGTACACGTTTCCAGGAACGTTTTACTTTTATTGAAAAGCCATAGATGCAGTAACATAAACACTGTTAGGAATGGCGGGCTACCTATGCGCATAATAGGATATAGGGCATTCGTATGTGCCCCCCCCAGCAATACCCAATTAGGTGGACTCCCGCACGCAGGAGATTGCAAGAGCCTCTAACGGTAGCGAAGCTGGGAACGAAGAAGCTCCCACGGAAGGTAGACACCACAATCTCCTCCAGTAACTCTTTACAGATAAGCGTTGCAGCTGTGAAGCAATTAAGCGCATGGGAAGGAATGCAAAGCAATTAGAAAGCCTCTCCACACTCATGGCAGCTTAGCTGACATACTGCCCCCTCGAAAATCAACTCCCCCCCCCACTTCAGATATCTCCCGGTTATTCCGGGAGATCTCCCGGTTTTTCCGGGAACTCTTGGTGGAATCTGCGGATCAACTGAGGGGCCCGAATATCCCCTACTTCCACCCACTCGAGGTGCTGGGGTCCAAAGTCTTTCCATTCCACCAGATAAAACAGTTTACCACGTTTGACTTTAGAATCCAAAATCTTAAAAATCTCATAACAAAATCTCTCGATCAAAATAGGCGGTGGTACAGGACGTTCTGGACGCCATGGGCAGGACCCAGAATCTTTTTTCAGGAGGCTGAAATGAAATACAGAATGCAATTTCCTCAAGTTCTTAGGCAATTCCACATCTACAGCAACATTATTGATAATTTTATGCACTTTAAAAGGCCCAATGTACTTCCACCCAAGTTTTCTGCTCGGTCTCAACATTTGAATGTTTTTTGTAGATACATACACTGAATCCCCAGGCTGCAGAGCCCAACCCTCTCTTGTCAGCCTGTGTTTTGTAAGCCTCCTTAGCCGCGTCCAATGTTTTACACAAGAGGGGCCAAGAGTCCCGCAGTTGTTTGCACCACAGCCCCGCCTTCCCAGGCCCCAAGTCCATGTTTCCATCCAGAAAGGGAACTGGCAGGCTATCATATCCATAGAGTGCTTTAAACGGGGACATTCCCGTCGACGAACGACAAGTGTTATTATAGCAGAATTCTGCCAAGGGCAACAAATCGTTCCAATTGTCCTGTTGATAGTTTGTAAAGCAACGGAGGCATTGTTCCAATGTCTGATTTACCCTCTCCGTTTGTCCATCCATCTCCGGGTGGTAAGTGCTACTCAAACCCCTCTCCACCCCCATATGTTTCATCAATTCCCCCCAAAATCGGGAAACAAATTGCGTGCCACAGTCCAAAATCACCTTGGTTGGAAGCATATGAAGTCTCACCACATGCACCAGGAATGCTGCATTAGGAACGCCTTAGCAAGGGCTTTAGCCGTAGGCAGGGAAGCAAAGGGAATGAAGTGTGCTTGCTTGGAAAACAAATCAACCACCACCCAAATCACAGTCATTGATTTGCTGGGAGGCAAATCTGTGATGAAGTCCATGGAAATAACTTCCCAGGTCGACTTGGTGTGGGGAGAGGTTGCAAGAGACCCGAGGCCTTCCCTGGACGATGTTTACTCATGGCGTAAATTTGGCATGACTGGACGAACGAAGATAAATCCTTGCACATGTGCGGCCACCAGAATTGTCTCTGTAGTAATTGAAGAGATTTTACGAAGCCCGAGTGGCCCACCAATTTTGAGCCATGCACAGATTGCAGCACTTCCCCCCTGAGAGTTTGGGGAACTTACAGTTTATGACCGCGATACCAGCAGCCATTCTCCCATTGCTCGCAATCCCCCACCGCTTCAATCTGTTCTGTATCCGCCTCTGAGAAGGTGGAGTTGAACTTGTCAGACCAAGAGTTTTGGGGGGGCGCCTTCGGCGTAGGCGGGTTAAGAGGCGGTGTGGACAGCGGAGGTGGGTCGAGGTGGGCCTGGCTGCGAGTCGTCACTGCTCCACCCAAGTGAGAGGGTGTGAACACCGAATTGAGGATCACTTCCCGTTGGCTGTCGTGTTGGGGGAGGCGTGATAGCGCGTCAGCTAACGAATTGGCCGAGCCAGGGAAATGGTGAAGTGTGAACTGGAACTTAGAGAAGAAATCAGCCCACCTAAGCTGTTTAGCGTTAAGGCACCGGGGCGTTTTGAGAGTCTCTAAGTTCTTATGGTCTGTCCATACCTCAAATGGGACCCTAGCCCCCTCAAGCCAATGTCTCCATGTAGAAAGCGTGAGTTTTATTGCCCCGCCTCCTTTTCCCATACTGACCAGTTCCTCTCCATGTCATTGAATATTTTTGACACGTAAGCCAATGGATGCAACAACCCCCTCTTGTAAGATGCCCCCCCATGGCTACATCAGAAGCGTCAGTTTGTACAATGAACTTTTTCGATTCGTCAGGCTGACCCAGAACCGGCTCCGAGGTGAATAGAGCCTTTAGGCGCATGAACGCTTCCTGACATTCCCCAGTCCATGGGGAGCATAAGTTCATGAAGACCCCCGGGCCCCCCTGAAGACCGAAGGGCATCACCAGGTACTCAAATTGGCCGAGTGGGGTGTTGAACGCAGTTTTCGTCTCGTCTCCTTCTTTGATGCGCACACGAAAGTATGCGTCTCTGAGCTCTAACTTGGAAAATATTTTCCCTTTAGCTGCCTCCGTCAGTAGATCTTTAATTAAAGGCATGGGGTAGGCGTTAGTGGAAGACAGTGCATTTAAACTCCGGTAATCTGTGCAGAGTTGTAACCCCCCATCCTTCTTCTTCCGGAAGAGCACCGGAGCCGCATAGGGGGACGAGGCCGGCCTGATGAAACCCCTAGCCAAGTTCTTATCGATGAACTT